AGTTTAAAATTTCATTTAAAAATAAATAAAAAAAAGACGATGGACCATTTACTACGATTGTAGGCATTTAACCAACTTTATTTTATTCTTCATCTAAACTTGCTGAATGAATTTAAAAACGTACTGCACTGTAAAAAATTCCAGATCAAATAACGGTAAAAAGTACCGGTAATTTGGGTGCATTATCCGTAAAATCCATTTTTACCGTAAAATATTATACAATAAGTTTCACTGTAATATTAATTTTATTAGAGTTATTCAGTGATTTTACGGTAATAATTACTGTAAAAATTACGGTATATCAGATTTATTTTTCCGTTACGTGTTCCGGTAAAAATGGATTTTGCGGTAAAAAGTACTGGAATGCTGAGTGTCGGTACTATTTCACCGTAATTTGATACGTAATTTTTTACAGTAGATGACTAGCCATCTTAAACGCATGTTTTTCTAATGTAAAATACGTTAAGTTGCAAAAGAATGTAATTATGCAAACCTCTTATTTCAAATACAATTTCCTTTCTACAATTTGAGAATACTTTTTACACTTTGTTCAGAGACAAAATGAATCAATAAGTCGAGAAATAGAAATGTAAATGATTTACGAAGCAAATTTCTTTTTTATTAAAGAATATGAATTTTACAGTAAAAAGTAACTGTGAAAGTACCGGCACTCTTAGCGTCTGAACTTTTTACCGCAATTTAATCCGGAATTATTTACAGTGTGTGTTAGAATTTTATAGAAATGCTTGAAAGTTCAACTCTTTCCTATTCAATATGAATTTACTCATATTAATGTATTAAAAATCACTTTTTTTCAAACAATACACTAGTTAAAAGAAAAATATTAATTTTCTCTTTATTAATTAATTTTATTGTAATTTCAGGAAGAGAAAATCCTCTTCTCGTTATTTTCATTTCCTTCCTCATATTTGTTTATCAGTAGTTGAAAAACTAAGCTGTGTGTCTCGTTCTTATCATGTCGGAAAACCCTTTATAGCTTTGAAGATTACACCATAGTTATAATTTAATTTTTATAAGTTTAAACCACATCCTGTTTCTTTTTCTTGGGAAATTCCGAAACTAACATGCGTTTAAAAGTCCAACAAGAGAAATAATTTGCAACAGTCGATTCCGACAGCTCAAAAATAATGTAAGTATGTTTTAAGTATCAAAATAAAATAGCTTGTGTTTTAACGCTAAGGTCCTTAATGTGTACTCGACCTAGTTAATCTACTGGTTAACTGATTACTGTTAAAACATGGATTCAAGCTTTTTCCGCATAATACTTAGACCATGTAGACATTATAACTGCTTTCGTATTGTTAAAGCTCCAAAGTTTGTTTGTCTCTTTATATCAATTAATTTGATGATTGTTTGACTTGATTTTAAAATATATAAAAATAAATAATTGATTTTATGTTAGTTTCCTTAATTGTAATAATATCTTAAACTGTTAGAGTCTACGTATAATAATTTTAAAGCAATTTATGACTGATTCTATAGATTAATTTTTTGATTTTTTGATTGTAGTAACTTAATTTTTTAGATACCGAAAACAAAATAAATAACAATATGTTAATTTAAGTGTACAGAAACGTTACGATTGTTCTAGCAAATATCTTATTTTCATCTCTCGTTTGGTGTGAAGGAGCGAGAGTATGCCGTGAGAATATTCCATTATAATTTAGATTTAAATTTCCTCATTCAAATTGAGTATATGAGTAAAAGCTCGATTTGGTGCTTTCCAAAAATAAAGTGTTTCTTCACACAATGTTTTGGGTAGGTTAACATTGTATTCGGAGAAATATTACATTACAGTTTTTACAGTACAGTTAATCTGCACATTAGCTACACTGTAAAAAAGTAGTGCAACCATCTCTCCAAATTCAATGTTGTACAACTCAAAAATTTGTGCGAAAAAAACAATTTTTTTCTTTAAGTTAGCACCACATCAATCTTTCACGTTTAATTTAAAGGGTGTAAATAAGTCTAAAAAAAGTTTTTCTCAGTGTAGATAATCTGTAGAATAACTGATTTCTACACTTCAGAGGTAACACATATGTTACTGTCAATGACCAAAAT